AGCTCTCTTGCTAGTTTAGCATTATTTGCAGGGCGTACTAACAATCTGCTAGTATTCTCGTGAAAGGAAAGTGGAAATGCCATGTCATTCATTTTTCATCCTTTACTGGAGGAATACCATTCTTCTACTATATGTCTAGACCCCCCTAATAATAATAAAGTACTTTGTGTGTGTGTAAAATGAATCCCCTAAAATATATCCAGAAGCTAAAAGAATGCATAGAAAGCAAAATATATTGACTGTGCTTTTAAAGCTATGCTTTTCAAGACAGTTTATTGCTTGCTTGAAACTCTGCATAGTCAATAAAAACAAAATAATTACCAAATCACTAGGTGAAACAAAGGTGCTTACTGTATTGTCAGCTTGTATCCCCTCCTGGTGTCTATTGATTGGGGATTTGGAGCCTATAAAAGGCAAGAATGTCAGAGTTTTTATGTATGAAAAGAGAGCAAGCTGTAGAGAGTGACTTGTCAGGGAGACTGAAAGGTCATTTTTCTACCTGGAGGAGGACTGCACTGCAGAGAATAGGCTGATTGCTGTTTTTATATGTAGCTATCTTCTTTAATGGCTACAGTTGGAATGGCTCAAACACTACACTTAATGTTAAAATAAATACAGCTTCATGGAATGGAAGAAGAGTAACTGCTACTGCTGTAGGACTAAACTGGATTTATTTACTTATTTATTTTATTTATTTACCAATATGTATGCCAGCTCCATGGCCATAGTAACTCTTACTTCTGGGGATAGCAAGTCCAGGTTGATGACAAATGTCAAGAAGCCTTTCCAGGACTGGGTGGCAGTTTGATCAGAATTGGATTTAGGCTGGGAAATATCTAAGTGAAGGGTCTGGTAGGAAAATGTTTAGTATGGAAATGCAAGACAGAAGCAAAAGTTGTGAGCCTGACTACAGGGCAAGAGAGCAGGCAAAATCAGGTTTGAGTAGAATTGGAAGAAAAGAAGTAAAAGGAAGTGATCTATTGTACAGGTTCAAGAGAAAGAGACAGTCTTGAAAAGTAGGACCAGCAACTGTAAAAAGCACTGCTGGTTGCCATTTCTCTTCAGTCTTGGGGCTGGAACATACCAGGCTTTAATACAGTTGGGACTGGAAATAGCACAGGGATAGAAAGCATGCTTGAAGGTCTGAGGTAAAAAGTTCAGGAAAGCTGCTGTCAGGTGGTCCTGGATTCATGGAACAGTGGTCTGATCTGCTACAAAGCAGTTTCCCATGTTCCATTTTGACTACAGGTAGTCCCCAGTTTAAGAACAACTTCTATTCCCAAGGTCTGTCCTTAAGTCGAATTTATATGTAAGTCAGAACAGAAATTATATATACAATTATATAATTGTATAATACTGTGTAAGTAGTAGTATGTACTGACCTTGAACCATTGTGTATTTAGCTCAAATCATTGTGTATTTAACTTGAATTTTGCTACAATAGGCTCCATTCTTAACTATGGGTCATCTGTAACCCAGGCATTCTTAACATGGGGACTACCTATACATGATCAGCTCTGATTAGTAGTATGTACTGACCTTGAACCATTGTGTATTTAGCTCAAATCATTGTGTATTTAACTTGAATTTTGCTACAATAGGCTCCATTCTTAACTATGGGTCATCTGTAACCCAGGCATTCTTAACATGGGGACTACCTATACATGATCAGCTCTGATGCAACAGAGGAGCTATTACAAATATTGTTATGGAATTCCAGCTCTGTGCCTGTCATATTTTGATCTTCTCTGTTCAGCCAAGAAGTATTTAATTGCTATCTTGAAATAATGGAACAAGGTTTTGAAATCTCTCTATCTCCTTGTCAAATTCAGCATGTTTCATCCTGGTACCTTCCAGATGTGTTGGCTTCAATTCCCATTGTTCCTAGACTTTGGCTATGCTGGAGGCAATTATGGAAATTTGAGGCTAACCTGGAAGACACAAGGTTGGGGAAAGCTGGTCAAACAGAGATAGCTGCTCGTCATGACTGTCTGTATGCCTAAAGAAGCATTTAATCTAGTTCTTCTTTGACATATAAGCATCTTATATGCCTACATCTTTGCTGGGCAGCTTATACTTCTCATCTGCTCCTGTGAATTCTTCCTTATCTGTGTGAATTTCTGTGGAAAATTAGTTTTCAGTTTTATGGCTTGGAAATAGAGATGTGTAATTTACTCTTGGGACCTTGAGAGAGAGATTGCTAGGGATTGGCTAGGAATGATGTAACTTGTCTCTCTTTTAAGTATTTTTGTCTCTTATAGAGAGGTGATTTGGAACTAATTTGTCTTTGACTTATCTTTGTGACTGGGCTGTAGTGTCACTGATCAAATGCACTCTGTGTTCTTGGTTTTAGATAGCTTTATTACGGAGGAAGCACAGAACTTGATTTCACTATCTGACTGTAAATAAACTATCATCTCAATGTGCTTTGTCTTTAGTATTTTAGGTAGCTTACATTTATTTCTTTTGATATTTTGATGCATAATGCTTTGCTCATATTAATGAAAGATATACTCTGCTTAATGTCTCCTGATGTTTTTGCCTAGAGGCTTCAAATAAGTTCTGCATCTTCTTCTTTTGTATGGTCTTTCTATCTCCTTTCAGACAAAACATATCCAAAATAAGATCTCCCAAAAATAAGCCATCTAAAACAATATAAGTGATTTTTAATACAAACATTGTAAGGAAGAAAAGAAATCCCAGTCTCTGTTTCAGTACAGGTAGTTCCCAAGGTCTGTCCTTAAGTTGAATTTGTATGTAAGCTGGTATATATTATTATTATTATTATTTATAGTAATACTTATAATAATTAATAATTATTAAGTATAAAAATAATAATTAATAAGTATAAAATACTTATAATAATAATTATAAGAATATATTATATTATTATTAATAATTATATAATACTGTATAAGTAGTATTGTGTAATGAACTCAACCATTGTGTATTTAACTGGAATTATTATGTATTTAACTCAGATTTGCTACAGTAGGCTCCATTCTTAACTATGGGTCGTCTGTAACCCGGGCGTTCTTAACCTGGGGACTCCCTGTACTTAAGCATGCACCCCTAAGAACAAAATGGATTTTTGTCAAAACTGTAGCAAAGATGGCAGAGGGTAGCTGGTGTCAAAGGCCTCAGTGTGAGGCTACCACTGAGAAAGCTATGCCTGGGTCTCTTGAGATTCTACAATGAGTAGCAAATGTCTTCAAAGCCAAAAAAATCAGGGAAGCTCATATGGATGGATTTAAAGTATTAAACTGAAAAAAGTGACTGGACACACGTTATCATCTGGCATTATAAGAATTATAGCATGATCTAATTAGTGGATGATCTCAAGTCTCACTGGACTAAAATATTCCCCAATAAAGAAAAATTTACCCATGTGTAATTTGGAATTGTAACTGAAAATTCTGAACTTGAGCCATGTGGTTATACCCAGAAATCAATGCTTGATTCATGTCTTCTTGTTCTGTAATCCTGGGGAGAAGCTGCTCCCCAAGATTTATGATCTGTTGTATAACCTGGGAGAGGCTGCTCAGCCTTAGTTCAGCCATATAGCTGGCAGGAGTGTGCTCATATCTCTCCTTTCATTGTGTGTCATCTGCTATATGTAAAAGACACAGATCTATTAGGCTTTACAAATGTATCAATGGATCTGCAGGACTGAGTATCCTGATGTCCTCTAAATATCACTCCCACTGCATAAATACATAAATAAGAGTGAACGAATGAATGAAATAAAAAAGGAAGGAGAAATATATCAGTTGTCGATTATATTCCAATAGTGCACATAAAAGAATGTAACTAAAAACTGAACATGTGCTGGTCACACTTCGGAGGATTAGTTCTGTAATTATACAACATGGTCACCAATGTTGCTAAAATTTTTGAGAATAAAAACATTCATTTTAATTTGGAGTTACAGTGCTGTCTACTAATTTATTTGATGCTAAACTAGACTCTTTGTCCTGAAGTTTTAGTAATGGAGCACATCACCTTTTAGCAAAATGACTCCTCTGATCATTTATCAGGGAAGGATTACAGATGAAAGAATATCACACTCACTGTACTATCAATTGTTTCAGCAGGGAGAAGTAAAAATAAACAGATGTATAAAATTAGATATAAAACCCACCGTGGGATGATAGGGATTTCTATAAAAGATTTAAGGCCCTTTGAATTTAATGATGCTTAGTGACTCTAAGGAAACATCAGTATGATTTATGCTTTATGCTTTAGGCAATATACAGTGTACTTCCAATGTATCTTTTAGCAATGTTGACAAGTGACAGGTTTCAAAATTGTCAAATAATTCAAGCCAATATAATATCATTTATTCAAATCCTATTAGCACACAGTAATGGACTTTCACACACATATATTTGTGTATATGTGTGTCTGATAGAGGAAAAAAATCAAGGATGCTGTATTAAGAATACAAGTATCAAGGAAAATTAAAAAATTCAAAGTCGTAAGTTCCACTCCCCAGAATACCGCTTTAGGGAGGATTTCTTGAGATAGCAGTAGCCCTCACTTGTTGTACATACCTTTTAGTTGGGGTTCTCTTAGCTTAGGGAGATCAGTCCCAAAGTAGAAATTGGTACTATATTGCAGATATTTCACCGTGCATTCCAGCGAGGCTTCCTCAAAACAACAGTTCAGAAGTGGGGATCTCCTTGCAATATTTGTAGTCTATGCGGGATTTGAATTGGGAGAGAGGGATTGGTTTGTAACTGGAAGCCTCTTGGGAAGCATCAATGGATTGGTGCCAATGCTATTTGGATTGGTCCACCTTGTCAGTCTGTTCTGAATGGTTTGAATCAGGTGCTTAACTGGGTGGTAGATCATATCCAGCTCTATTGAACTGTTGATCCCTCCTTTCTCTGAGTCCCAGGCTTTCAGGAATTCTATAGCTCTTCTGGTCTTTGTGTGGTCAATTATTGACCAAACAGCAGAAGAGCCAGAGAATTCCTGGAAGTCTGAACTCCAGTCACCCCCCACCCCCTATTCAAATGCCACAGAGACTAGAAATACTTCAAGGTGATCCTCACTTCTGAACTGTTGCTCTGAGGAAGCCTCACTGGAATGCAAGGTAAAAGTTTGCAAAAAATGTGATCTCTTTTTTGGTACTGACCTCTCTAAGCTTGGAGAACCCCAGCTAAAGTTTGTATTAGGGAGGGTGTTATGTCCAGAAGAAGGTATGGGGGAGAGGGAAAAATGGTTTGATGCTATAGTTACAAGACTGTTCCCAGATGACACCATGATTGTCTAATTGTACTCTCTCATTTTCAGAGATACAGGCATTGTCTAAATGCCATAGCTTATTTTCCCACAATTCCTATTTTATTTTCACACCAAAGGAAATGGAGAGAAACATGGAATAGTTTTACAAGTGCAGTAATATTAGACACTGTCCATCTGGGAGTACCCAAAGAGGTATAAAAGCTTTGGGTGATACAGAGAAAGTGAATAGATTGAAGTTAATTTTGGAACTTAAAGTTTGGGTCATTCAGGACAATCAAAAAGCAGTACTATAATTTACATAGTGTATAGCTGCACTGTGGAGTTTATTATATTGAGCAGTTGGTCTGGTTCACAAGCCATGGCAGTCCATTTGAAGTTACACGAACTCAGCTACTGTAGCTTGTAAACTGTGTCTTAGTATGTTGTGTGAAACCAGCAAATTTTGGTTTATTCAGGAAATCATACATAAATTATAGCTTATCATAATGTGGGAATTCAATCAAAGTACTCAGCATTTACCTACATGACTTTAAAATTAGAGAAAATCATGGAAAATAAGGTTACTAATACCAGTTGCTGGGAACGTGAGCAGACAGATGCTAATATTTTGTGTGCCACTCAGGGTTGTTGTTATAATATGGGCAGCTATATAAGTTTTTATATAGAGAGCCAGTTTGGTGTAGCGGTTAAAGCCCTAGGCTAGAAACCAGGAGACTGTGAGTTCTAGTCCCACCTTAGCAGTGCTGGATTTAGACATGGTGAGGTGCTAACCTATATAAAGCTTGGAGGTCCGTTGTTAAAAAGTTACACCAGAAGGCCTCACAAAGGTACATACCAAAACAGGACCTTGGTATTTAAAATGAAAAATACAAATTATTTTCAAATGAATGCATTTACTGATTAGATATTTATCATTTGGCTGGCTCTCATAGAATATAATATGGTATACCCTGGAAATAATACTTAAATGTAAATTGTAAAAGCCAAAAAAAAAAAAAAATCCAAATGTGAAATTTTGTGAGGCTCTGCAGATTGTGAGGCCCTAAACTGTAGTTTGTTTCGCTTATGCCTAAATCCGGCACTGTGTGTTAGACACAAAGCCAGCTGGGTGACCTTGAGCCCATCACTCTCTCTCCACCCTAGAAAGAAGACAAATCCTTGCCAAGAAAACCGCAGGGGCAAATCCAGGCAATTGCTTGGAGTCAACATAGACTCAAAGGCACACACACACACACAAAGAAGTCTTTCAAAATAAATAAATAAAATCTCACAGTCTCCTTGTGGACTCCCATAGACCTCTGGTTTACCTCTGTGGAAACAGGATGCTGGACCTAAGAGGTGCTTCATCTGATCCCATACTGCTGTTCTGTTCTTCACCAATAGTATTATCTCCCATATTACAGCTGAGTGGCAGATTAAAAAAATATGGCTGTCACAATAACTCTCGCTGTAAGATTTGGGATCTCTATGGTTTCAAGTTCCCTTCAATTACAAATTCACTGGGCAGCCTTAAAAAAGTCACTGTATTACAGATCTGCTTTTCCAGCAGAAGGATCAACTGAGGCAGAGGCGCCTGATGAAAAACTAACAGATGCTTCCCCCACCCCCACCCCTGCGGAGGTTGAGCTCATCTTAGCAATAAAAGATCACCATCTGCTGGGAGGTCTCTTGCTCTCGTTTTGGGGTTTTTGTTGTCATACCAGGTAAATCCACTGTGTAAATCTGAACAACAATAATGGAAGACACTGTGCAAATCTGAACAACAAAAGCTGCTCTTTTGACTGTCATTTGAGAGAAGGACGGGTCCCAGATGCTCTGTGCCAGCTCTTGTCTAATATCTAATGGAAGTTGAGTCTGTTTGGACTGTTGGAAAACTTCATTTATGCAGCATTTTTCAATTTCTTTTTTCAATTAAATGGAGCCCCCTAGAGGCTATCAGGATCATTGTGCTGACAAAATTGTATCGGATGCTTCTTTCTCTCTCCTCACAGTTAAATGAAACTAACACAGTATTATAACTGAACATGGATGCAATTTGGAAAGAAAACTATTTGGAAGAGGAAAATACCCTAGCAAGTATGTGCCTGTCTATAACTGCAAGGCCAAAGTAGCTGACTGCATTTAGGAGAGCCCCACACACAGATTGCCCTTGACTTCTCCTGCATTTGACAAAGCCTACTTTTCTTACAGCTTTGTTGCTCTGTGCAGACCTGTTTCTTTTCTTCCTTTTGTGGCGGTCTCATCATTGCAGGACAAAGGCATGGTAGATATGTCAAGTGCTGTATGAAAAATGCTGTGGTCACATTTGCACAACCTAGATCAGTGTTTCTTAATCTCAGCAACTTTAAGATGTGTGGACTTCAACTTCCAGAATTCCCCAACCAGCCTGCTGGAAGTTGAAATCTACATATCTTAAAGCTGCTGAGATTGAGAAACACTGACCTTGATATTACATCCATCCATAATTTGTGGTTAGATGAAATGAGCCTCTCTTTAATACAGTCTTTTTCTCCCTTCTCTTCTTTCCTTGTCTGGGGCAAATCCAGACTATACCATACATCTAATTTGGCTTGCCTACAAACAAGGAGTATAAAATAAATTGATCCTGGTTTGGTGGGCAAATGGCAACCATAGCTTAATGTTTATGTTATAATGGCTAACTGTATTTTGCTATAGAATCAGAAGGAAGAAATTGCAATGCATTGGAGAAAAGGGATAAGGAAGAAAAAAAATGCATACATCTGAAGCTATTTCACAGTTTGGTTGCATTCAGTTTGCTGGCACATTGGAAACAAGCCATTGCTTAACCGTGACTTGCTATATTATTACTTGGGTTTTCAGATAACATGAAACCATAAACTGAATCTTACAGTAGTGCTAGTTTCATACAACACCCTAAAGAAAAAAATAATCAAAGACATGATGTTAGGGTGTAGTCCTTATGGCAAAAATGGTAATCTAGTCATTATCTTGCTTCCTTGAAAAAATAATGCTGACTGATCATGAGAAACTTTTCAGTAAGCCGTATTTGTTTTAGGAAACTCTGATTTTTATTTGATGTGCCTGTATTGCATTGCGTATGTTGATTGTAGTTCAGTGGTGAGATATTGCAAAACAATGTTTGTGTGCCTTACTTCATTTACAGAGCTGATAGACCAATCAACTGACTCTGAGGGGCTTCGCTGCTCTGATTTGGAGGCTCAGTTGCAAGCCTACTCTTAAATGCAGTATAGGATTATGGTCCAAATAGTGCAATGTATGTTTGTATATTATGGACACTGTTCTGATTTAGAGGCAAAGTTCATTGAAGTCAGTGACTCTTAGTTGCACAACATTCAGAAACTGCTGGATAACAGGGTGTCATGGGTTCTTTATTTAACCATGCCCAATTAGACTGACACGGACTCAAGAGAGACACAAAAGCACTGGACCCTGGACAGGTGGTTTCTTTATATCTTTCTATAAGGGTTGGGGAGATGTTTTATTTTGTAAAAGTGATATGTGAGTGCTTCCTATATTCTGTTCTATTGCTATCTCTATACCAGTGTTGTCCAAACTTGGCCACTTTAAGATGAGTGGAACTTCAATCCCCCAAATCTGTCCGGGGGGATTTTTGGGGTGTAAACCACCCCTCTTTATACTGTGGAGATTTGTGGACACAGCTCCTTAAAATTTATAAT